TACAGTATAGTGTAAACATAACTTTTATATGCACTGGGAAACCAAAACATTCTTGTGACTTGCTTTACTGTGATTTTCACTCTATTGCAGTGGTCTGAAACTGAACCCACAATATCTCCAAGGTCTGCCTGTACAACTTACTTAATGGGCATATCTATCAAATTGTGTTCTTATTGAGATTCAAATGAAATTATCTGTTTAGGATAAATTCAAGAGTGTGAACTCTTACTACTTGCTTCTCAATTTATATATAGAAAATTTTAAAAGGGGGTGTCCCTTCTAAAGAGTTACTGTTATTTTGCAAATAGTTATTGAGTGCCTAATGGAATACATAGTGCCTGACACAGGATAGGCATACATTAAATATTTAAGTGACAAAATTATTGAATGAATGAAAAGTAGACATGGTCTCTGGCCTCATGGACACTATATTCTTCTCAATAAAAGAAATTACAAAATCTAAGTGAAAAGATAAATACAAAAATACAAGTCCCCAATACTGTTATCAATAAAACAAAAAAAAGGTTTGAGAGAGCCAGAGTGAAGGGACCTATAATCTCTAACCGGGTGATCAGAGAGTAAACTACTAATTTTTAAGCTAAGACAAAGCATAAGAATGAGCTGGACAGACAGAGCTAAGGGAGGAGCAATTCAGCAGAACGTGCCAGCATGTACACAGCCCTGAAACAAGAAACTGCTTAGTGTAGCCCTAGAAACAGATAGAGGACCAGTGTGGCTTAACGTCAGTGGGAAGGCAAATGACCTGCGATACATGAGGTTGGAGAGAGAAGCAGAGGACTATGGTATATATGTAATCTCTTTAACAGATTTGAACATTATAAACAGCATTACCTAGGTGTACACTTTGTGGCTGCAGAGGCTTTGTTCTGTTTTGTTTGTTTGCCTATTTTCTTTAAGGCATACCGAAATGAAGTGCTAGGCTTTTTATCCTTAACTGAAAGGTTAATCAGCTAACTCAGGAGGAGAGCACATTGGGAAGAAAATGCTCAGAGCGCTCATCCCCTTTTCCTTTTCCATGCCCCCTCCCTCCATCCACCTTCCCATGAGGAAGCCCTTCGTTAATCTGTAACAATCCATAGACTGAGACAGTGAGAGGGACTCAGTTCTGAAAAATATGTCAAGGGATTTATAACTGATACATGCTTTTTGGACTGCAGTGATAGTCTAGCTACAAAACTTCACCTTTTATGGAAACAAATACCCTCAGAGGTGTAAAAACAGAAATGAAACATAAAGCATTTTACTTTTTCCCTTTTGTAAATCTTTATTTGGTCTCCCCCGCCCCCCAACTCCACCCTTTAAAACAATTTCTTAGGTAACTCAAACAAATGAGGGAACAGATCTGTTATACTACTTTCTTTTAAATATGCCTCAATTAACTTCAGTAATGGCATTCTTGGATATGCACCACTGTTAATTTTTTGAACAGAAGCACTGCCATGTGTCTGAGATAAGAATCTTACTATTTTATCTAGATTCTGAAAGACAGCAGAAAGTCAGAATTACAATAAAAAAAGTGGGCTGCATCTCCCTCCTTTGGGAGAAGATTAAAAAAATGTTGTCAATCAATAAACAAGATGATCTCTCATAATTCCATCTAGTCCTAAGATTCTGTGGTCTTTGTTTACAAACTTTTTATTAGTGACAAATCAGAAAATGGTAGTTGCAGCCAGTGACAACGGAAGCTGCCTTGTTATTAAATGGATCTGGCCTGCCCCCTTGTGGCCATAAGTGCAATGACCATAACTGTCTGAGAAGCCTGGCTGTGAAGGAGGAGGGAAGAGTCAGGTTTGGGGCTGCCCTGCCAGTCAGTTCGTCCAAGTCTCCCAGGCACATCAAATTAGCATCAAACTCATTGCACAATAGACGGGTGGCTTATTTTCTTGAAGAAGTGCGAGCAGCCTCATGTTAGCCTCTACTCGTTTGCAGAGCAAAAGCTCCTACTTCCAGAACTGGCACCAATGAGTCTGTTAAACCATCCAGTTGAGTTGTTCATAACCCTGGTTACAGAGATCATTTGAGAGGTTTGTAAAAAGTAAAAATGCCCCGACCCTCCTCTATGTCCTCCCCAGGAGTGATGCTGAAGCGGGGTCCTGGTACCAGTGGTTTTTTTAAAGCTCACCACTGAGGTAACGTGCAGTCAGGATGGAAACACCACGTGGCTTAATCCCATTCAGTAGGATGGCTGGTGATTTTAACTGAATGTCATTATGAAGACCTAGACCCAAATGACAAACTCCCTACATTAAAGCAGTCCTATGCAGATTCTAACACACCAGTATTATTGAAGTTTTAAAAAGAATGACTAGGAGATTAAAAGAAACTGAAAATAACATTTAAAATTTTTCCTTGGATTGGCCCCAGTAAATCTGCTCTACAAAAATATCCCAAGGGCTTCCCTGGTGGCGCAGTGGTTGAGAGTCCGCCTGCCGATGCGGGGGACGCGGGTTCGTGCCCCGGTCCGGGAAGATCCCACGTGCTGCGGAGCGGCTGGGCCCGTGAGCCATGGCCGCTGAGCCTGCGCGTCTGGAGCCTGTGCTCCGCAACGGGAGAGGCCACAGCAGTGAGAGGCCCCCGTACCGCAAAAAAAAAAAAAAAAAAAAAAAAAAAATCCCAAATGACAGTCTTCTGGTCCTCACTCCTTATTAGGCCTAGATACAATGTATTGTAGACCTATTTTTATACTAATTGTGAGTTTTTGTCACTATTTGGCAAGTATAACACTTTACCTAGGAGTTCGTTAGATGCCATCTGCATACATAAGACCTTGTTTAACATCGAGTTTTCTGTATTTACCCCCAGAAATTCACATTAGTAAGTGTGGAGTGCTGAGTAGAAATCTCCCTCACTTAACAAGCAATCCAGACAAATCTGATGCAAGTGGTTGCAGGCATCTCAGAGAAATGCTGCTTAGTCATACCGTGACATGCTAATTCACTGAAGGTGTGGGGTGTGTTTTAGTTAAGGGATGTTCTAATATTTATTTTCTACTACAGTGCTTTTCAAAATGTGGTCCCTGGACCAGTAGCAGAGGCATCACCTGGGAACTTCTTAGAAATGCAAGTTCTAGTCCTATTCTACACATATGGAATCAGAAACTCTGAAGGTGGGGACCCAAAAGTACTTTAACCAGCCCTCCAGGTGATTCTGATGCATTCTTAAATTTGAGAACCACCGGTCTCAAAACATCCCAACCTCCTTGACAGCTGTTTGATGTAGCTTCTTCTTGTTCTTAGAATTTTTCCCTCAACCTCCTAACATGTCTTTAGGAAGGAACCATGTCTCATGTCTATAAATCAATATAAGGGAAAGTGCATGGGATTTAAAATTATAAGACCTGGATGGGAATCCCAGCTCTGTCAACTGCTATGAATAAAACCATGCATAAATATTTCCACCCTCTGAGCATATTTCCTCATCAAAAATTGGGAAGAGAACATTTATTCAGGACACAGAGTCCAGATTTTGCTTGAAGCTTTCTCTCATTTGAGCACCATGCACAGCTGCAGTTGGCATTACTTCCAACCGATGGATGAGAAAATAGACACGGAAGACTCAGAAGAGTGAACTGAGCTGCCTACCCTGATCCATTGGACACAAACCCTTTGACAGTGTTGCCTTATCTACAAATGTGGATAAGGACTCCATGAGTTTGATGTAAGGATTAAATAAGGCAACAGAGTTTAAAAGAATTTGTAAAAGGTAACAAACATTATGTTTGTAGGTATTATCTTAGTGGTTTGGTGGGTTAAGTGGAATCAGCACACTCACACCTGAAGCTGAGGGAAATCAACAGCTAATAAAAGACAAGTTTTGTTTTAAAGCAGAAACCATAAAACATCATAAACAGATGGTTTAAAATATAAGAACAGTTAACTTTTACAGTATAAAAAGTGTAATTCTAAAAAAACAAAAACTTTAGTTCCACAAAACAAAAAAGAACAAGTAGAAGCATTATGTAGCTAGAAAAATGTATATATGTTTTCACGAAAAGAAAAGCAAACACTTATAAACTAGAGAGAAGGGGTAGGTTCTTAAGTGTAGCTGAACCACTGCTTAGCACACGTCAACAGACCTCAGATTAAAGCCTCTTCTCACTGCCTTAGGAAGCAGTTATTTACATAAGGAGTGAGACTCCCTCAGCTAATTTCTGTTTTCTTTTCACCCTTTCAGAGATTCTAATCAATGGAAACACCACAGAAATCAAAATAAGAAAGTAAATTCTCTAGATTTTGGTGACAGGAATGGGAGCAGTACTCTGGCCAATGCAATGAAGAAAAGCTACCCAGGAAGTTCTTGAAACAACAGTCATAAAATTAAATTTGAATCACCGTTAAAACTACACTACAGCAAACAAACCAAAAAAAGATTAAAATAATAAAGTGTTCATACTTGTTGAAAACTTGTTCATACTTGTTGAAATCCTGAAGAGATGTTTTTGGTTTTGTTGCTATAGACGTCTGGTCAAAACAAAGCTCACCGGAACAGTAGTTACCTTGACTCTGTGGAATCAGTTTCCCTATGGAAACTGAAGTGGATATTTAAGATGACTCATGGAAAGCAATTAAAAAACCCTGCTCTAACCAAAGTACTCCTGGCAGTTTTAAATACAGACAGATGGATGGAGGGATAGATGTATGGACAGAGAGACAGATGAAAGATAAGAATATTGATTTTAAAAGTGCCATCCATTACTCTAGAACCGGAAGTCTTCTCGAGTCCTGAAGTCTATGAAAAACGCTTCTCTGCAACAGAAAGCTAGGAAAGGGCTTCTAAGGATGCTCCGCGCAGGCGCGTGGACGCGATGTCACCGCCCGAGTCCCCGCCAACCCGGCTCCTCTGCCCCGGGGACCAGGGCTCACCCAGCGTTAGAGGGAAGGACCTGGCTTTATCTCCAGGCCTCAGGTCCGCTGCTGCTCGTTTCGAGGCCACTCCCGGAGCGCGGCGGGGAGACCGCGGAGGGCCCACTCCCCTCCTACCTGCAGCACGAAGGCGCTCGGCCAGACGGTGAAGCCGCACTCGGCGGCCGGGCCACGGGAGAGGCTCACGGCCGTCGCCTCCTCGTTGGGGTTGTCCAGGGCCAGGGGCAGCGTCCGCGAGGCTCCCAGGCGCACGTCCCCGAAGCAGAGGAAGGGCGACCTGCAGAAGTGGCTGAGGGACAGGACCGGCGGGGAGGCCGCCTCCTCCTCGGCCCGGGGGCCCCGCGGCCTCGGTTCCGGGGGGCTCCGCTCCCAGCGGTCGCGCCCCTGACGCCTGGTCGCCATGGCGGCCTCTGGGCCCAACGAGCTGCTCCGAGCCGCCCCTGCAGGAACGCCCACCGTGTCCTCTCGGGAAGCTGGGGGAACTGGAGCGAATTCGCCCCCTTTCTCGTGCGATCACCGGGACCCAGCAAATAAGCCGGACACACAGACTCGCAAAGTGGAAACAGGAGCAAACGGCGCAGCTTCTTTGCTCTGTTTAAACTTCCCGCCTCCACCAATGGGGGCGCCCTGACCCGCCCACCTCCCCGCGGGGCCAATCATCGGGCAGCAACCCCGGCCAATGAGAAGAGGGCGCCTTATTTAAACGTGACGGCGGCGGCGCCTGGCTCTGCGCGCGGAGGCGACAGTGGCGTCGGGGTCTCGGTGGCCCTTGAGGCCCGGGGCTCAGACTCGGAATTCGCCTTTCGGTTTTGTGAACAGGCTGCTTGAAAGAAAGAGGGTCACAGCACTTCCACCGTAAATGCAGCAGTCATTGCCGTGCTGGGACAGTCATTTCCCTCCTCCAGTATACCCGCCCGGGGTCACAACCCTGAGCTCCCCTCAGAGGCTTCCTGGACCCAAATGGGAGAAAATGAGGAAAATTAAATGTATAGTTAGTGTGAACGTGCTGATGTCAGTGCCTGACCCCAGCAGGGGCTCAGTGATACTGGGAGCAAAACTAGGTCAGCATACAAAACCTGAGATTCCCAGAAATTCATAAGCGATGGTCTTGACTGGCATTGCCCTTGACAAATAACTTCCGGTTTTAATTTTAATTGTAGACATCTGATAATAATGGTCATCGCTTACATGTTACTCTTTGCCAGGGACTGTTTTAAGCCCTGCACATATTTATCTCAACCTTCACTTCAACCCTGTGAGGGAGGTGCCATTATTCGTGTTTCACAGATGAGCGAGGCCGGCGTCCAGCCAGCCAGGAAGTGGCAATGCCAAGAGAGGGACACAGGCAGCTCGGCTGGTCTTGCTGTCACCCCTGCACCTACTGCCTCTAAAGACAAGAGAAGACTTTAAAAAATAACGTGTGGATGTGTGTACGCGTGCACGAAATACATCAAAAGAAAACTCCCTGGGTGGAAAACCAAAATGAGGAAGGTGGGATCTGAAATTATATTCACTGACACCCATTTTGACCTGATGTTGAACCCGGTTATCTTAACGATACTTAATCAAAAGTGTTCATGGAGGTTTCTTAAAATCCTAATTTAGGATTGATGCACAATGAGACCACTACTCCATAATTTTTTAGCAAAATGTTAATGTGAACGACAATAACATTCATATACACTTCATTTATATTTATTATATCACATTGTGAATGTTGTTCATCAAATTAACATTACAGATATAAGCCCTTAAGCTTAAGTCACTGAAATGTTTGTTTCAATGCTTTTTAACATGATAGTAACTCATCTTGTTTATCTATGCTCTCCCCTCACAGTTTCTCTTCATGAAGCAATGCTGTTGACGCACAATTTTAGAAAATCCAGAATGAACTGTATGGATTATTTTTTTATTTGCCCTCCACTTCCACCCTCCACCCTTTTCCAGCCTGCTCTTTGCTGTGGGATGCTGGCCTGTGTTATGTATTTGCTACATCCATAGGTTTTTTACTCTGTAGCTTCTGTTTTACTCAAAAAGGGAGATAAGGGTACTTCCCCCACTCCCGCCCCCCCTTGGGCTGGCTCCATCTCAACATTAAAATCACAAGTAGCTGGAGAGGTGCCCTCTCCTCATGGGTCTCTGGGGATCTGGGTGTGGGGATACCATGGTGTTACTAGTCCCAGGATATGGCACTATTGGTTGTTTCCCTGCATCCCTGTCACATCTTTGCAAATAGTCCCTTTATTAAACTTCCTTGAATTCCACTAAATTGAAGAGGGCCAACTATTTCCTTAGTGTCCCTGGCTGATGCAATAGTGGCCTTAGGAAATTGCCTCTTAAGATAGAATTCTGAATTGAGTTGCTCGTATTTGAGGAGCACAGGGATAAACTCCTGCTAGCGAGAAACATCATGATAATCCAAGGGATGCGGTGGCATCCTGAGTCCTCAAATCATCTATCTGTGGCGGCAGCATGAGATGAACTGCATACGTAGGGCAATTTATTCAAAGATCAGGTGGCCGGGGCACACAGTGGCTATGCCAACACTTTATAAATGATTATAAAGCTTAGAGTGTCACCTGGTTTCACCTGACCACCCTGGAGAGCATACATAGGGAAAAAGAAAATGAAACTCTGTGAACATCCAAGGGTACAACTAAGAACTTATCTTGAGAACAAGAATGTGTGGACGGAGGGCCTGAAGAAGCCCCTCATTTCCTGTGGTCTCAGGGAACACATGGCCAAGGAGTAATCCCGAGGCTGCTGGTGAATGTGGCAGCACTGATGAAATGCTTGACCCTACCAGCCCTCCTAGCTAAGGGGAGGGAGGGAGACTCTGGGAAGGAGTATGGCATTGGAGCAAAATTTTAAAGGCTGAGACCTTGTAATTCTCCCTATTCCCACAAACCTCCCTCACCAGCAGAGGCGGCCCCTCCACTGGTCCGTTATATTGATGACATTTGCTAATTAAATCTGATGAGCAAGAAACAGCTGTCAGGAGCTGGGAGGGTCTGAGACTTACCCCGCTGACACCCATTCCTTTACATGTTATCTACGGCCGCTTTCACACTACAAAGGTGGAGTCGAATAGTTCCAGGAGAAATCATATTGCCTGCAAAGTCTGTACTACTTAGTATCTGGCCCTTTACAAAGAAGTTTGCTGACCTGGGATCTAATCCAAGGAACCAAACAACTGGATGTGACAAGCAACATTCCATTATCAAGTCAAAGTGGTGAACACCAGGCCAGGGCTGATCAGGCCCCAAGTTCACAAGCTGCACAGACGATCTGGGTCCTGTAATATCTCCTCCTCCTACACTGCCTCTCTCAGTCTATACCTCGGGGAAATTGGGGATCTCCTTGACCATTTCATAAAGGAAGACAAAGCCTAGTTTATGGACTGATGTGTATGGTGGGCCAGATGTGAGCAGAGCTGCGCTATAGCCTCCCCTCAGGGTAGATGAGAACACTCAGGGAGCAGAAGTTTGGATGGTACATCTAGTCCATTTCAAAAGGGAGAAGACACGTCTCTGCTCTCTGCTGACTCAAGGGCACAGTCAACAGGTTGGGCAGCGGGTCAAGGGTTTGGAAAAAGCAAAATGAAAACTTGGTGACAAGTAAGTCTGGGGAGGAGAGGTTTGTAAAAGGACATCTCAAGATAGGGACAGGGGGACTTCCCTGGTGGCGCAATGGTTAGGAATCTGCCTGCCAATGCAGCGGATATGGGTTTGAGCCCTAGTCGGGGAAGATCCCACATGCTGCGGAGCAACTAAATCTGTGCGTCACAACTGCTGAGCCTGTGCTCTGGAGCCCGTGAGCCACAACTACTGAGCCCGTGTGCCACAACTACTGAAGCCTGCACGCCTAGAGCCCGTGCTCTGCAACAAGAGAAGCCACCGCAGTAAGAAGCCCGTGCACAACAAAGACCCAACGTAGCCAAAAATAAATTAATTAATTAAAAAGACCAATAGGGACAGGAAGTTAAGAAATTTGTGTCCCTAGTAAATGCCATCAGAGAATATCCAAGGAAAAGGAAGAGCTCAAAAATCAGGCAAACAAGACAACCTGTCCTGCTTAGGTGTCAGAACCTCTTTCCTCAGAGACCCCATTCTTCCTTGGTGAACCCATGTATACACTGACCATGGCTGCAGATATGGGGGCTATGAAAGAGCTTAAACAGTCTCCCTCTTTCCAAGGCTGATCGGATGTCCCACTGCTGAGAGCCTGACCGAACAGAGGCCAAGCAGAACCCCCAGTGTGACTCCACTCCCCAGGGACCAACCAGTTACCTGTGGCATGTGGGTTACATTAAACCCTTTCTACCATAGAAGAGGTGGTATTTTCCTCTCTGGAGTAGATGCATTTTCTGAGTACAGATTGCTGTACCTGCCCCCACTATCCATGCACGGACATACAGAATGCTTTCTCTAGAACCAATGAATCTGGGGAGGTTTTCAAAGTGTGTCTAAAAATTCTTGGTCACTTCTCCCTTCAAGAGGGGAATCTTAATTTGTGTCCCTTGAGTGGTGTGGACTTAGGGACTCACAGTGGCAGATGTGATGTGCTATCACTTCCTAGATTAGGTTATAAAAGACAGCAACTTAAATCCTGCCTGTGTTCTCTCTTTCATTTTTTCAGCTGGGGTCAGCCAGCTGTGTATCTATCACCAGGCAGCCCTGTAGAGAGAGGCTGTGTGGGGAGGAACTATGGCCAAAAGTGGGCTTGGAGGTGAAGCCTGCTCCAGGATGGCCTCTAGAGACTGCAGCTCCCATGAAGTTTGACTTCAACCCGAGGATGGCCTCTAGAGACTGCAGGTCCCATGAAGTTTGACTTCAACCTCTGGCCCTGAGCCAGAGCCACCTAGCTCAGCCAGTCGATTCCTGACCCACAGGACCTGTGAGATAATGTCTGTTGTTTCAAGCCACTACATTTGGTCTAACGTGTTACACAGCAATAGAGAATTAGGTGTCCCACACAACACCGCCTCCAGTGGGAAGGCTTGGAATTCACTAGTCTTCTACCAGCTGCCTGCGGAGGCTCAGTTATGTGCCAGATGCAGATGACAGCTGGCCAGGTCGGGTGTGTCCTGTCACTCAGCTCGTGCCGTAGACCAGCAGTGGTCCCTCCCGTGGCCAGAGTGTACAGTTCTGGGAATGACGGGTAGTGGCGAGAGTGACCCCTCTCACTGTCACAGGCAACAGCCCATTCATGGGAGTTTCTACACTTCAGACTCCTTGGGGAAAAACAGCACATGACTACTTCAAGCATAATAGTCCACTATTAATATTTAAACATATTAATTAGCCACTTAAAAACCATTAAATAATGATTTATACATTTAACATATAAAATATTTCAAAATGATATCTAGCTTATGAAAAATAAAGAAAATTTTAATAACT